GCTGCGCTCGATGAGGCTGGTGCTGATTTCAAACGCAAGCGCCTTTAGCCGTGCGGCTAGATGCGCAATGGGGCCAAAGGCCCCGAGGTTTTGGAATATTGTCTCTGCCAATGTTACTGATCGCTCTGGGCTTGACATTTTCCTCTCCTCCCCCTCTGTGCTCCAGGCTCAGCTGGTCGGTGTGCAGGAAACGCGGGTGTTGGAGGTTGAAGCTTGTGAGCATAAACTCAGGCGACAAGGGTGGAGAGCCAAACTTTCGCCAGCCCGTCAGACGGCTGGAGGCGGCATATCTGCTGGCATCATGCTTGCTGTGCCAAAGCATATCGGCCTGGCGCCGATTGAGAGCTTTCCGATCGACGTGCAGGTGGGGAGGATGATGGTTATGCATGTGGGAGGTCTCGTACCTGGGGGTTTCCTAGCGTGCACGCTCTATCTGCATCACTCTGTCGGACTTGCGCCAGCCAACTGGGATCTTCTCTGCAGGCTAGGCGCGCTGCTGAAAATGGCCAACATGCCGTTCCTCATCTTCGGGGACTTTAATCTCGAGCCCGACGTGCTCCAGCATTCAGGCTGGATTGATGCAATCGACGGTGCTGCCATATACACGGATGCTGGAACTTGTGCTCCAGCGCACAGGACCATCGATTTTTTCGTTGTCTCCCAGGCGTTTGCGGCGAACGCCTCGGTCTCACTGTTGGCAGAAGTGGAGATCACTCCACATATTCCAGTTAAGTTGAAGTTACCCACCTTGGACACTGTACCCTCGGTGCGCATGGCTATGGTTCCCCGCAGGTTCCCCAGAGAGTTGCCCATTGGTTGCCGTGGAGAGCCCAACTTAGCCAGGTGGGAGGTGGCGTCGGAGATGATGAGCAATGCTAGCATATCTAAGTCGTGGCAAGTTTTCGTCTTGGCTGCCGAGCTTGAATGGTTAGAGGTGTATCAGATTCCCGCTGAGCTTTCGAAACCGTACCTTGGGCGTGGTGGTGATGTTCGTACTGGGTGGTGTCGACCGAGCCGGCCTGCTCCAGTTCCTTTTCCACGTCTGAGCCCTCAAGCTGTGTGGTGGAGAGCCTTGGCCCAGGTCCTCAAGACCCTCACGAGGCCCATCAGCGTTGCCCAGACCAAGCAAGTGCGGTGCAGGATCCGACATCTTCAGAGCTCGCCAGATGTTCCAGATTCGAATCTCGCGGTTTGTTTCCTGGAGGCCCTTGATCGGTTTCGCGTCTTTGATTACGTAGTCATGGACTATTTCGCCGCCGTCGCCAGCGACACTGCCGAGCGCCTGCACAAGCAGGCAACCCAGCTGAAGATAGTCAACTGGGACCGATGGGTTAAAACGCACTCGGTAGGTGGGGCTGCGGCGCTCTTCAAGTATGTGCAGCTGCCTGACCCTTGGCAGCCGTCCACCCTCGACTCCTTCACCCTCCGTCCCAACTCCAGCATGGGGGAAATGGATGAACTTGAAAGGGAGTGGAGCAAGTGGTGGCAGGTGGGGGTCGCGCAGCCCCCCGTGCACTGGCCAGAGGATCTCGGAGAGCGCCCGCCTCCCCCCACGGTCCCAGAGCTCAAGAAAGTGTTGATGTCCTTCCCGCTAGGCACTGGTTGTGGATACGACCAGGTCCCGCCTAGGAGTTTTCTGCACTTGCCCGACGTTGCGCTCGAGCTTCTGTGCGGCCTCATCGGGAAGATTGAGGAGCAGGCGGACTGGCCTCCCCTCACGAACAAGATTGCTTTTATTCTCAAAAGATTGGGAGGAGTCCGACCTTTGGGGCTGTTACACGTTCTCTGTCGGGTGCAGTCCAGGCTGAGAAGGCCTTTGATCAGGCAATGGCAAGTCAAGAACTATCGGAGTTTCTGGTGGGGTACTAAAGGAAAAAGCGCTGACATGTGTGTGTACATTCAGGCAGTGTGGGCGGAGTATTATCAGTCCAAGGGCCTGTCATCTGCTACGTTGCTGCTCGATTTGAAGAAAGCGTTTGAACTGGTCAAGCATCATCATCTTGTCCAGGCGGCCACTCGCACTGGATTTCCGTTGTGGCAACTGCGTTTGCTTGTGCAAGTCTATCGGTCGCCCCGCCTGCTTGATCTCCAAGGGACTGTCAGTAATCACATCACGGCGGAAACTACGATTATCCCTGGGTGTGGTTTTGCTACTGTTTTGCTGCAACTGGTTTTGCTGGGCCCCCTGGATGTTGTTCAGAAAGAGTTTCGGGCCATCTGTCTTTCCGTGGTTGTCGACGATTTTGCGTTGCAGAGATCGGGGGAACACGGCCGAGTAGTTGCTGATGTAGCTGGCGCTGGAGTGAAGCTTCAGTGCGAGCTTCAGCGTGTGGATCTACGGCTCGCTCTTGACAAGACGCGAGTTCTTGCTAGTGATTCTGATTTACGTGACCAGCTGTCCAGGAGGCTGGTATCGCTTAGGGCCCAGGGCGTGAACCATGAGCGCAACCTGGGGGTTGACTACAGTTCAGGTCGGTTTCTCAGGAGGGCCACCAGGACG